TAATAAAAAAAATTTACTTCTCAAGAAAAGCTGGAATCTTGGATTTTAATGAAGCAACATAAACTTTGAAAAATTATATTAAAAAGCTGTTTTAAAATACAACCGTGTGTGGGACAGATAAAAGACAACTTAAAAAACAGACATCTTCAGACAATATTGGGCATATAAACTCCTAGTTTATGATATTAGCTTTATCAACTTGATTATATTCAAATGCAACTCAATTGTTGTATATATAGAGTATCCCTGAAAAGCTATATAATACAGCCACTAAAATGTCATGGTGAATACTGATTAAAGGGGGAACTAAATATTCAGAAGTATACATATACTTTTATAAATGCCAAACATTTCACAAACTCTGTTTCTTATAGAAATGAAAATATCAAGGCCAGAGGTTGCCAATAGAATAATGAGATATATAACTATTATAAGTTATACTTTAAATGTGGTATAATTGAGTTTAGGTCACAAGTTTAAGTTGGCTCTCCGTTTATGCAGATCCATGATCATATTGCTAAATGATGAGTAAGTAAGCTAATTACAATGACTATAAAGTTCTGTCATAGCTGACATTTTAAATGATGCATTTCACTGAGAAAACGAAAATTTCAACCTCATTTTAATCACGTTAGCTGTTCAAAATTCTGTTAATCAAGTAGGAAAAAAAACTTGTGTGTTCAACACCTAGAATGATTTATCTGTTTGTGTGAATGTGAGAAAATGATCACATCTTCAAGTAATAGATTACAAGTACAAAGAAAGTTCACATTATAGCTATGCTGATGAAAATTACCTGCAGGCTGTTACAACACAGCCAGTGAATTAATTAACCTTTTGCCATAAAATTTAAAAACTTCAGCAAAGACTGAATTTTCTGTTTCTACTGCTCCAGTTCCCTCAGCATTTTAGAATATGAAATGATGTGCTGTTCCTGAGGCAAACAAATGAAATACACTTAGATTTTATCAGCTCTCCTAGCTATTACAATAAAACCACATAAATAGTAGTTAAATTTATACTAGGGGTTTCACATTTGATTTTGTTAATGAAAAATGAGAAACAGTGTCTGATTTCTGTAGACCTTTACTTTTATGAATGAGATTAGTAATTCATTATAATGTATAGTGGCTAACAGTTAATTGTCTGCTTTTTTGACTCTGAGGAAATAAAATTTACAAAAATGGCTTTTTTCAGTGTTTTTTTTTTTTAAAGTCAGTGAACATAAATAATGCATATTTTAAAGTTAAATTTTAAATGGAAAGATAACATTATCTGAAGTATATTTGTCATTTTGATAGTTTTTTATCTGGGACCTGAAACTTAAAAATCAAGTACCTGCAAAAGAAGCCATGATCTGGGCAAATAGGAGCTCAGATAAGCAATGGTAATATGGCCCACTACACTTCCTCAGGCTGCAAAAGACAAGAATCAAGGTGGCTTGGTTGACACGGTGGACATAGCAAAATTTAAGCACTACTTACGTAAGTTTAAGTACTAATGCAACACTTTTTATATCTTTATATACTCTTCAGGAATAATAAAAATTTTTCTTATTGATGTAATCATATCTTGTTAATAGCCTTCACTACCTCTTCCATTAGACAAACTATAGTTTTTAAAACTTAATAAATTCATTTTTAATAAGATAATCTTGATAATGGATAAGAAATATCTTCACTGAATGATCAGAAAATCTTATTTATATGAATAATTATATATATATATCATTAAACTATTTGAGTATTTATCTTTTCTTCGAATTAAATTACGTGATGCCAAATTTAGTTTTAAGAGCTAAACTAGTGAGTTGTCTACTCAAATATTGGAAACACTAATGAGCTCTTTGTCAAAGTTTCAGGAAGTCTTTTTCAGTAGCAAGAGTGGCACAATAACATTTTATGGCAGAGAAGTATTCACTGGATGTTTATAAATTAGGTAAAGTTTACACTGAACTAAATTTGCTTTTTTCTTATTTTGTACTAAGGACAAACATATTTTACTAATAGTATCTCAAATTAAGAAACTGTGTTAAGTAATTTAGAAAAAAACAGTAACTATTTGACAATTATGAACATATGAAAATTTCCAAATGAACTAACTTTTCTACTTTAAATGTAAGAAACGGAATTCTTTAAGTTTGCTAAATTTAGACCATTTACTGTAGCATTTTAAGTATTTTAATGTTGAGAACATTTATATTATAAAGTATAAAGTTTTAGTAAAGCTTTATCTATATGATATGTCAATGCTACCTTATTCTTTCAAATATTTAGCTTACAATAAACTATTTTTAATATAAAAACACACAGTTTATATGGAAATGTAGCATGTTCTCCAATGTGAGAATGTAAGATAGACTAAATAATGCCATTGGTTTTTATTTGATTCTGTAGTATTTATATTTCTAGTATTTATTATCTACTTACAAAAATATATTTGTAGTAAAATACTACATTTAATTATAACACATAAAAAACTAATATATTAAATATTTCAGAACTAACTTGAGTTTAATTACTTAGTGTACTACATATATGCACATGTGCAGAATAAATATATGACATTTTTAAAAACCCTCAAAAATATTTTAATACAAGAAGGCTAGTTTAGAAAACCTTCTTACTTATTACAGAAATACAAACGCTATTTTTTTTGAAATATGAATCACATACCTGACAGGTAATGTTCTGTCTCCTTTCCTTCGATCCATTTCTCTTTGGGGAACAGGATACCAGCGGAAATTCAGTTTCCAGTTAAAACCCCCATAAGTCATGTCTGACCCAGCCATATACTCAAAGGTATCATCGCTAATCACATCAATGATGGGGCATACAACTGTTTTCCTACAGGTAAATGAGAAACAGCAGCATATAAATGATGTTGTTTACTTTCACTTCAATATATAATTAATATGTTAAAAATCTAATTACTTTATGATTTTAATGACTTTATTTTCATTTTGTCCTTTTCCTCCCTGGAATTATTTCCTTTGACTACAATTTCCTTACAATCTACTTTTACTAACCTGCGTAATCTAATCAAATATTCTAATTGACTTTCAAGCTGATTTCCAAATGTGTGCTAAGTACTACTCAGCAGGATGAACATGGTATATTTTTCATAAAGCGTCTATCCACAGCATGATTTCTGCTTTGAGACTATGCATCATCTTAGTGAAAATCAATAGCATGTAGGGAGGAGATAATGCATGAAGCCAAATTAGAACCAGTAATTTGCATCTCAAATAGGGTAGGTTAACTTAAAGCAATAGTTCTGAGAATATTAATTTAAAGCAAAAAAAACATTCAAACAACAATTTAAACATTCAAAAATTAATGAATAACAAAAATAAAAGTCATGGTCTATGTAAGCAGATGTATGAAGACTATAGATTATATCTCAATTTTTAAAAAACCAAAACAAAAATCTTCCCAAGTGAACAAATAAGCAATCTGATTATAAATGGAGAATATATCTAAGTTCTCAAAGATAACATTTTACTTGGGTCTACAAACACTCGCTGTAGCAGGAGTCAGGAAATCAAAGCGCATATTGCTCTGGGCAAATTTGCTGCAAAACAGTCCTCCTAAGTATTAAAAAGTAAAAACGTCACTTGTGGAGTAAGGTGGAAACAACTCAACCTATGCATTTTTTTAATCACTTCATTGCATGAGAGGATATTTGGTGGTGCAGTGATGTAAGAGATGAGCTACCAATCAAAAGGTCAAAAGTTTAAATAAAAATATGAGGCCATCTGCCTTGGAAACTCTAAGAGGCAGTTCAACGCTATCCTGTCGAGTTACTATGACTGAAACTGACTCAAAGGTAGTATGTTTGGTTTTGGTTTTAGTTATAAACATGAGAAAGCTGGAAAATGAATAGGGTAACTGAAGATGTCTGATGCCTGTGAATTATGTTGTTGATGAAATATATTGTATATACCCCATGGACTGTCAAAAGAATGAACAATTATTTCTTGGAAGAAGTACAACCAGCATATGCCTTAAAAGTGAGGATTACATGACTTTTGTCTCACTTCCTTTGGACATGGTATTAGGAGAGATCTGTCCCTGGAGAAGGGCTTCATTCTTGGTAATGCAGATCAGTGAAGCAAGGAAGATTTTCAATGAGATGGATTGGCACAGTGACAGCAATAACAGTATCAAACATAACAATGCTTACAAAGAAGGAACAGTAGCTGGCAATATTTTGTTCTGTTCTACTCAGGGTTTCTGTGAGTTGGAATTAACTCAATTGCACCTAACAATAACAACAATATAGAGGATAGTGGGTTGACATTTCAAAGTGAATTGTCCTAGAATTATAAGTTTATGGTTGCAACACAGCTGATACTTTAGGATAGAATGAGATAGTAAACCTCCGTCAACTGTGTTCTATCCCATGTTTCAATTTTCTAACTCAGTGAGAGGGACATCAGAAGAAATTATTAAAATCATTCATTAGTCTTTTTTTTTCTCTCACTGACTTTGAGTCTATTCCAACTAATATCAAGGGAAACTACAATGATATAGCGACTTAATACCCTCCACAAATATGGCATAATAGCGAAAGATAGAAACAATCAAAGATTATTAAAAACTAGGTAAATAAACATCAGTATATGCATACAAGGGATACAACACATATAAGAATAACAATGAATCAGAAATATCATACAATATGGATGAGACTTGAGGACTTTATACTGAGTCAAAGAAGTGAATTATCAAAGAACAATGGTGTACTAAGTCAATTTTATTTTAGATAGTCAAGAAAAGGTTTACTCATAGAAAGGGCAGCAATAGTAAATGTTATCACATACATAATTCCACAACAGTGATAGTATAAAAAACATTAATGTGGAAATCGTTAAACTAAACAGGGATAACATGGTCCATGTGAGTGCATAAAGCACCCAAGGAGAGATACTGGCTAGATTTCATAATCTAGGGAGGGGAGACAACTAGGCCAATTGACATAACAGTGTCCATAAAGATAATGTTCTACATCCTGCTTTCTCGAGTAGTGAGTGAGGTCCTAAAGCTTACAAATGATTATCTTAATCATAATTATTGATTTCTTCTGGAGCAAAAAAAGAGAGAAGATAACCAAAGACACAAGGGAACTTGACCACGTGAACCACAGCTTCCACTTAATTGAGACCAGAAAATCTAGATGTTTTCTGTCTACCACCACCTACTACTCAATCTGGGATCACAATAGAAGGTACCAGATGGAGGACAGCACAGAACAAAATTAAAATTCAATTATAAATCAGACTTGACTGGTAGAGACTGGAGGAACCTCTGATACTATTACCCTTGGACAGTCTTAGAAGTTACCCACTTCTGGAGATCAATTTTCAATCACATAAAAGGCAGGCTTATCAAAAGAACAAGTAACACTCCTCAGAACAATCACCTACATGAGACCAAAAAGGTAGCATTTTGTCCAAAATCAAAGGTAAGAAAACAGGAATGGGAAGTGAAACTGGGTTATGAATGAAAATGGGGAACTCAAAGCAGAAATGGGGAGAGAACTGACACATTGTAGATACTGCAATATTGGTCACAAGTGTACAAAATGCTGAATGGGAAATTATTTTATTCACCTAAATTACAAGAACATGTTGAAAGAAAGAAGAGTCTAGTCAAAAGCATCACATGTCCAAGTTTATGTACAAAGTCTATCCTACTTACAAAAGAAGGAAATGGGTGACTTGCTAGATATTATTGTACAGAATCAGAAAATATCTGTGGTGAGGGGATTCTCCCAATGATGGAAATTGATCAATCATGGTAACAGAAATTCTGCCATTACAAAGCCACCCTTAGGCTATTTTTAAAAAGACAAGCAAACCGTGTGCAGTTCCACTTTGACATGTGTAGTTTCTCATCAGTCAGAGTCAGCCTCATGGCTGCTGGTTGTTTATGGTAATAGAAATTACGATCAGGAAAGAGATTAGAATTCATTGTTACATGGAAGTATAATTTCAATATGGAACCTATTTACAAATGTTTTAAGCATTACTATATTTAAGCATGGTGCTAAAAACCCTAAGTCAAATATAAATGTATGCTTTTAAGAGCTGTACAATACATGAAAAATTATCAGCAAATGCTTTTAAGGTGCTACAAGTTCATTTGACTTTAACAACCTTATTCTTCTGTGGTCATTAAACAACAGACTGAGCAGAAATGCTAATAACTAAGTATCGCACTAAGTTGACTTAAAAGTTCCGACTGCTTTCTTTAGCGGCTATGGTTCCTTTTACTGACAGCCATCATCCATCTTCCGGGCAAGTTCCAAGTCCTACTATTTATATGACACACCTACACTGGACCAGACTAAGTAGAACTTGTCTTGTTGTTGTTGCTGTTGTTGTTATGTACCATCGAGTCACTTACGGCTCATAGCGACCCTATGTACAAGAGCCCTAGACCCTGCTCTATCCTGTGCCAACCTCACTTTCTCTGACACACCTACTCCCATTACTCCAATCACGGAATCGATCCATCTCATAGGGGGTCTCCCTCTCCTGCACTGTCCCTCCACTCTCCCAAAATGATGTCACTCTCCAAGGAATGGTCCCCTCTTGCAACATATCCAAAGTATGTCAGACAAAGCTTCAGAATCTTTGCATCCAAGGAGTAGCCTGGTTTCACCCTCTCCAGGTCAAACCTGTTTGTTGGATGTTTAATTAAAAACTTCAATTCAATAAGGTCTTTCTACTATAGGTGGAATAACTATGCAATGAAGAAATTATACAAACTTTGCTATTAGAGAATCAATGTGATTCAACATTAGTTATCTTCATAAGGTACTTCAGTTAGGTTCTCATTTATCATAATGCTACATACCATATGTACTGAATGTACCAAAAATATATGGTACATTGCATCATTATCAGAAAGCATTTCCTAAAAGAGTTCTCATTTGTGAAGGTCCATTCAGTGTTTCAAGAATTTCTTTGTGAAAGTGGAAATAGTGTAAATAATATTCTTTATTATTCTAATATCAAATAATATTCTTTATTATAACTATGCTTTCTCTGTTGCCTTAAAATCATGGCATTTCAGTGGCAATAGAATTTGTATATGCTTGCTTTTAAGATCCTCAAAGTTATTTTTAACTGCGTCAACTCAGAACATTGATATAGTAGTGAAAATCTGATATGGAAGTGGGGGAAATCTCAGGTTTTTTGCCAGAATTTAACTTCTTTGTTTCTCTTTGGCCCAGTAGTCAAGAGCTTCCATCCCTAAGGCACATGGTTCAATTCTGCCAGCTGCCAGAGGTGAAAGATGGCCAATCTTGTCCTGGGAGATCTAAACTACCTCTGAAATTCCACAGGAGGGTTAGCTATGAGTCAGTTCTTATTTGACAGTACACACAACAATAGATATATAACCTATTTGACAGGGTGTTAGAATGATACGAAATGCTGCTTTTAAAGAATATTCTAGAACATATGGTATTACTTCAATTGAACTGATATCCTTCACCTAACAGAAAGTTAATTAGTAGCACATTTTTTAGTTAACTAGTTATTAATCAAGTTCCCATATTCAGCATGAATAATTCTTATTTGTTTAATAAAGAAAATACATTCTTTTTTAAAAAAATTTAAGAAGAGTTCTAGAAATATTGTGACTTAGAAATTCTGATGGACAGCTAGAACTGTCCTAACAGGCTCAGTCATAACCCCTGCATACATACAACATAAGTTTTACCTGTCTTCCTTTATTCTCGCCAGCAAGGGCTCCAGCCATCCTAAAGTGCATTCACAATGGGCATCAAGAAAAGTTATGACCTGCCCTTTTGAAGCGGCTGCTCCACGAAGGCGGGCTCGTATTAACCCAGAGCGTTCTTCCATCCTAATAATTTTCACTGGAACTTCTAAATTTTTCACATAATTCTCTAATGTCAACTTGAGAAAATCTGCAACACACAAGTCGAATACATAAGAAAATTTTAAAACTATTTTAAGTCACAACAGAGTCACAACAGAGCAACATGATGAACATAAAAATTATGGATGATTTCTTCCTTTTCTGGTTTTGGGGGTGTTTTTTTTTAGTAGATAAAGATACAGAAATTACAGAACTCCATTAATGTACAATTCATCATTACCACAGCTCTCTTTCACTTGGCAGAGAAGTATAAGGATGAAATTGGAATTTAATGGGATACCAAACTCTAATTTGCAAACTGAGCCATACTGGCAATAGCAAAGAATTCTGTTATTTGCTTGTGTCTGTATAAAAAAGGGAGAATAAAGGGCACAGATATGAAAGTCAAGTAAATCCTCAGGAATATGATGTCATGCATTGAGAAGACATTTTCATTAACACTTTTAAGCAATTACTGATTTCTCAGGTTAAGAAAAGACACATGGTGCCATGAAAAAAAAATTAATAGCTACTTGTTCCTGAAGATGACATATAATGATTAAAATTTGGAAGGTTGTTGAAGGCTAACTGGCAAATACAGGTAGAGAGCAATTACATCTTTTATTATCATAAGGTATCCTAATTAAAAATTATGTCTTAAAGATATTCCTACCTCTTTCACTGGCATCATCTACCAAGATGACCTCAGAGAGTAGATAGTGTGGGGAGCGATTTATAACACTGTAAACCGTTCTGAGGAGAGTGCTCCAAGCTTCATTATGAAACACAATGACTACACTTGTGTTTGGCAGTTCATCAGGGTAGACTTTTGTTTTGCATCTGGAAAAGAAGGAAGAATAGGGAGGGGCATACATGAATGAATTTAATTGAATTATGATTAAAGTGACCCAAACAAAGGCAGGCATTTCAAATCCACCAGTCTTCTCTTTGAATAAAGTTGGGCAGTCTCCTCTGTTGTAATTTTAAAATCAGCAGGAGGGTCAACTCTGAGATAGTACTGATTTGACAACACATAACAACAAAAAAACGATTAAAGAAAAAAGAAACAACACATTATCTACAAACAAGTAACAGTCACATGACTGCTTTTGAAAGTCTATTACTAAGGAAATATCTTGCAACTACTGAAAATAAATTTTATAATTCTGTGAGTAATCACTTGGCATTTTGAGAATTAAATATGCATAATTACTAATATTTTATTTTAACTCCTGCATGGAAAGCTAAAATAACATTTTGTGTTTGTCAATAGAAGACTAGGTGCAACAGGGACTGAATTCACTTAGTGGCTATTATATTCCTTGTTTAGGAAAAAAACCTTTTAGAACTGAAAAATCATATGAAAAGACATACATACATAGAATTTTGAAGCATGAACTAAGGTTATTTTACTATCCTAATTTTAGACATGTATATTTTCCAGTTTGAAGGAAAGGCATAGGGGCCAAATGCATGTTTTTCAAATTTCCGTTTATTTTTTCTGTTAGATAGATTCAAACAATATAAACTTATTATCCCATACTTCCAAAGGCTCAAGTGTGAAACCAAGGTCGTTGCAGGGCTATGCTTTCTTTGAGGCACTTAGGAAACATTATACCTTCCTCTTGCAGCTTCTGGTGGTGGTTGGCAATAGTCAGCATTCTTTGCCTTACAGCTCCAACACTCAAATGCCTATCTTTATTTTGCATTTCTCCTTTCTTATATGCATTTCTGTGCACAAATTTCCTTCTTCTTATAAGGAAGCTAATCCCTGGATAAGTAATCCTTCTGGCAGTGTAGTGTTTGAACCCATCAGCTATTCCATGGAAGAAAACTGTAGTTATCTTGCCTAAACATCATCCCTAGGAAACCCTAAGGCACAGTCCCACTCAGGCCTATTTGATCACTGTAAGTCAGAATCTACTTGATATTAATGCTAAATCATTGTATTAGGACCTTCTCTAATCAAATATTTTAACTTGACCTCTTTTTAACTTGATTAAGAACATATTTTCAAATGAGGTTATATTCAGAGCATTCAAGTTGACATTAATTTTGAGGGAATCCTGCTTAGTCTATCATTTAATAATAAAAAAATACATTCAATCAAGCAAAATCCACTCTCTTTTTGTGTGACACATAGCAACCTTATAAGGCAAAAGAGATTTGCCCTAGAGGGTCTGTAAAGCTGTATATTTTTATAAGGGTTTGTTACTTCATTGAGCATAACTCATAACAAACCTAAGAGCAACAGACCTGAACCCTGTCCTATGCTATGCTATCGTCATCTTCTCAGACACTAAGTCCATTGCAGCAATGATTGTGTTAATTCGTCACATTGAAGTTCTTTCTTTCTTTTGCTAAACTTTCCACCTTTCTAAGCTTAATATCCCTCTCCAAGGAAGAGTATCTTCTAGCAACATGTCCAAAGTATGGGAGATGAGGCTTTGTCATCTTTGCCTCCAACAGGTATTCTTGTTTTACTTTTTTCAAGACATATCTCTTAGTTATTTTGGCAGTCTTTGGAATAGTCACTGTTCTCCTTTAACACCACAGTTCAAAGACATCAATTCTTCTTCTGTCATCCTTGTTCATTGTCCAGCTCTCAGGTGCATAACAAATGATTGGAAAGATCATATCCTGAATTAGGAATACTTTCATCTTCAAACTGACATCATTGCTTCTCAGTAGTTTGGAGAGGTCTATGACAGAGGATGTGCCCACACCATGTCTCTTTACTGCTGGTACCAAGGATGTAGATTGTGGGTTCAAGTAATATGAAATCATTGATGATTTTAATATTTTCTCTATAATAATGTTGCTTATCAGCAACTTTCACCAGTAATAAAAGTTTTTGTCTTCTTGATATTGAGATGCAATCCATATTGAGAGCTGTGGTCCTTAATCTTCTGCAGCAAACATTCCAAGACCTCCTAATTTTCAACAAGCAAGCTTGTGTGACTCATATAATGCAGGTTATTGATAAGTCTTCCTCTGATTGGGATGTCACATTCTTATGAGAGTATATAATTATCTCCAAAACCTTTAGTTACTTCTATTGCATATTATTTTTATAGCTAAAAGAAAAGCCAGGGAGTGGCAAGAAACTTAGCTACAATTCTGAACGCATGCAGTTCAAGGCCACCAGCTATTCCATAGAAGAAGGATAGACAATCTCCCCTCCCCCCCGTGCTATTAACTGCTTCTGTAAACCTGCTGGAGGGTCAACTATGGGTGAGTTCTGACTCAATGGTATACAATAACAACACAAAAGAAAATACAGTTGAAAATATTCATTTGTATTCATTACATTTGTCAGTCTTCTCATGAACAAATTTACCATTAAGGTGGCTATTATGTATACTTTCAGAGCACTTCCTTTTTGTCACTATTTAATGTAGCATAAAGATAAAATGTGGTTGATATATATTTTCACTCTTTCCATGTGAATAATTATCTAAGAAAACATAGTTTACTAATAATTCATAGAATAATTTAAAACTAAACCAATTAGTAATTTTTCTCTGTTGGTTAGTCAAAATATATAGGCTAATATGGATAATAATTATGACATTGTGGTTTCTGATGGGTTTTCAATTTATTAGACTTGTGTTGTTGCCTGTATGTTGTTACAGTTATGATTTCAACAAGATTTTATGTATCAAGAGCAAACTAAACAAAATATTATAAACTAAAATAAAAAAAAACAAGCTCAACTAAGGTATATCAATGCAGTTTGAGATAATAATTCAGCAATTTAAAAAAATCACTACTGTTCTATATTATAAACCAAACTATAATTTTAAAATTTTAGAAATGATGTTTCAAAAATTAGGAATTAACAATTTAATTATGTTGAATACAACTTAATCCTACATTTAAATATATTCTTCAAATCAAATGAAGACATGGTCCTTTCCCTGGGATCATATTATTAAGACTAAATACATAAAATCAGTTTTAATTGACATCAAGTACATAAACCAAGCACTCTTTTCTCTTTTTTTTCTAAAAGTCCGTGTATTTTAAAAAGGTAAATATTATCTTAGTTCATTGTTGTGGCAACATATCTTATGAAGACTGCTTGTTTTCTTTTATGTATACATTTAAAGGAAATTGTCAAAATGAGGTACTATCATGGAAAAACCAATTTGTATTCAGATAATAATTGAAAGATCAATGGTTTGAATCCACCTATTCTACTGAAGAAGGAGCTGCATGACTGCTTCTATAAAGATTATAGTCAAGAAAACCCTCAGAAATTCAGTTCTACACCTGGGGCCATCATGAGTTGAAATCAACTCGTGGCAAGGCTGGTTTTTCTGTTTGCTTGCTTTTCTCTTAATAGAATTGGTAAAATTCTACTTTATTGTGGAAGCACATGCACATATAATTATCTTTACAAATAAAAGTGATAGAATATTTGATATTTATCAAATTAACTTTTTGTAATCTGGCATTTCACTCATAAGGAAAAAATTTATTATTTTGAAATTTTTACCATAATCATCTTTAGCTACACTAACATGAAATATACATGTGGGTCACAAATAAAGACAGTCTTGTTGATTTCTAAGTCCCAATTGCACATGTTATTTGTGCTTTGTATGTGTGGTGGTTTGTTTTTTTTTATTTTTTATTTCTTTATTTTTTTTTACAGAGGTTTTGGATTTCCATTCATTCATTGCCACAATTTTCTCCCTTCCCACCCCTGCCCACCAGCTTGCTTCCCCCTCCGAAGAGAGAAAAAAGAAAAAAGAAAAAAAGAAAAAAAATTCTTTCATTAGTATTATATTTTAACATATCAAAGCTATAATATTTGCTAGGAAGCAAACTGATTTTAATTATGTAATAACATGTGTGACTTTTATGTTGGTCACACATAAAAAGTTATCCCATGAGCTTGAAAAAAACAAAACTGATATGTAGGTTTTAGCAAAAGAGATTCTTAGTTCACTGTAGAGGGTGATAGCGATAGGCATTTGAAATTTAAACAAAGTCCATTGATAATTTGAATGTATTGCCATTGCAGAAAATTTTATTCTGGTATTATTAAGGCCTTTTTTTGCTTCTTTTCAACATTTTAAAATATGATACATGAAATTAATATTTCTTTCTGCCTGTATATAAAATAAAAAAATATTAAAATATTTTCCTCTGTGATTGTAAGCATATCAAGTCTGAAAATCTTCCTCACTCCAATGGTAATCTGCTTTGTTATGTGGAAGGACAATTACATGAGTCCATTTTAAATCTGTCATTTGTAAATATGAGAAAAATAGCTATCTGTGCTACTTTGGGAAAGAAACAGGAACAGATTTATGTTTCTAATACCTGTAAAGTGAAAACACAGTGAGACAATGTACTAAGTTAGCATTTTTCCCCTTGGCTAAGCACACCTTACAGGAACATAGTGTTACAATTTGATTTTATCCTTTTCAAACCATATTGATGTTTTCAGGTAAGCTACTAAGCACAACAATCCCCATCAAATAAAAAGAAACACTGGCTAGAAGATGTGAAATCACAAAGGATCTATAATTACATAGAGGTTTAGTTAGATATCATCCATTTAGGACTCAAAACAAAGCTATCCACAGTACAGCATGCATTAATTGTTGGACTGCTATTCAGTGAGACAGTGATTACCTTTCACTGCTTTTATAAAAAATTATTAATAACAGTAATTAAAAATGAACACATGTAATACAAGTCCTTTATATACTCCTTATTTTTCAGAGAAGTGGGGTTTGCCCTAAGTATTGCATAACTACACGCACTTTTTTGTTCCTCAGAGTTTTTATTCATGTACCCTGTGTTTTATAAAATTATTCATTTGC